TATATATATATATATATATATAAAACTGTTTATTTTAACAACGCTCTCTCCTTTTCTCTCTATTTTGGAGAGATTCATAAATTTGTGGATCCACCTTCATTTTAATCTTTAGAAACAACCGATCATAAAATCGTAACCTTCTGTTCCCTTCCTTTTTAGATTTACGTAATATACACAAGTTTAAAAATAAAAATGTATTAACCTAATTGAACTAACAAGCTCGGCCAAGGACATAAGATATCAACATGAGATTATGTCATCTAAAGACATCGTTAAAGAATATAAGATATGGATATAATGCTCATACAGAAAAGATCACAACACTTACAGATAAGATAATCTTATATCTAAAAAATTACATGCATTAATAATAAGAAATATTTACATGATTGGAAACTAACTTAAGTATTGGAATCTCTTTTACAAACATTTTTTCATAAAAAAATATATCACCAAGTAGAGAAGAGTGAAGAATCTCGTCCAGGAAAGTCGAACCAAGACTATTCCAAATGAGAACAAGAAATATAATAATTTTTACACAAATTAATAAGATAATAAATAGTATTTATACCATGATGACATTTTAAATTTATAAAATAAGATTCTATCTAAATAATACCAAATCATTTGAATTAATATAAATGTCATTGACCGTATAATCAGACACATAAGAATTACTTAGAATAGATTAGTTGTTGCATTAATACTATTATTTTCACTTTAATCTTTTATAATAGTGTTTAATATTTTACATTAATTCAATTCAAGTGTGAGATTATATTCGGAATAATTATTTGAAGTTAAAAATATGTGTCATTTTTAAGTATATGTAAAATAAATATTAAACCAAAATAACACCTTCATGCGATTGTAAGAAAATTAAATTCGTACTAAATAGGTTTTTTCCAATTATATATTATATAGAAGTTTATGTTAAAATATGTATAAAAAGCAACTTAATCAAGCTAGTTGTTGTAGTATAAAGAAAGCATCAACGAACTCGTAAAAAATAAAAAAATAAAAAGCATCGATGTATCTGTTTAGAGAAGAGGACTAACCTTAATTTGAAAGTAACATTCCATAACACGCATACATCAATGACTGATTAGGGTGTAGTTCTAATGTTAACTTCAGTGCGAGCTTCTTCTTACTTTCAAAAGAAAAATAATGATATTTTGAATAACAATTTTTGTATTTTATAATTCTGACCGTTACACACATTTTTAATGAGAATAACTAGGGAGATGTGGTGCATTAAAGTTAAAGAGATGTAACAACTAACAAGTTTATGATGATGGAAACATATAACATTCCGTCCACACTCTACACATCATATCAATCCTCCATCATTTATACGTCGTCAATAACATTACTATGCGAAATTCTGACTTGAGTGTGGATTTTTTTTTTTGTAGTTTGTCCCTCACTCTACTCAATTGTATGAAGATATTTCAATTAAGGTTACATTTAAACATAATGAAAATTATTGGATTTATTAGACATGTGAATGAATGGAAAAAAAAAAAAAACTTTATTTACAAAGAGAAATCTCACTTCCATCATTTTCATATCTCAAAAGGAATTAATTTTCTATATATTAACATTTAAAAGATATTCTTGATTAAAATAAATAAATAAATAAGCTCCCACATATTCCACCGTAATTACACTTTTAGAAGTTAGCATAAAATAACTATAAATTAGAATTATTAATTTAGAAAATATAAACTCTTATTCTATTAAGTATTAACACTATCTTAGTAAGAAGTTACGATTCTCACACAACTTGTAAAGAAATATTTCTCTAGATAATTTCAAAGTATTTTTTTTATTTATATTTGATTTATTTAATTATCTATCCACTTTAATTTTAAAAAATTATATTTTAATTTTAATTATTTATAAAATTATTTATTTATTATGATATAATTTATAAATTTAAAATTATTTATTTATTAAAATCATTCATTGATATATTAAATGTGTTTTATGCTCCTTCAATAATGATGAACAATAATTACATAATTTTCTTTGTCGTTTTTGTCTTTGCCGGATAGTATTTGGAATAGAACCCTATATCAAATATTTGAATACTACTCGATTATTGTAGGATATTTAGTCCTTTAATAAGGTGTCGAAATCTTATCTAGTACATGTATTTATTTTGTGAGTATTTTACATTATTAAAAAACTAATGATAAGATATAAAACATAAAAATGCTTGAATAAACACTAAACCATAGATTATTTTAGGAACAACGATAAAAAAGAAGAAGAAGTTATCTATAATTAAAATAATTTAAAATGCAAAATTTAGACTAAAAAATAAGTGATGCAACAATCAAGTGACTAATTAATCTATAATTATAATAATTTAAAAAAAAATAAAAAAAAAAAGAAGCATTTATCTTGTCTCACAAAATTATATTAAAATACTCCCACCTAAACTTATCTCATAAAACATGAAGTATAAGACCCATAATTAAATAGGAATAAATTGGTTTGCCATGTTTGAAGGTGGTTTTGATGTGAATATGTGTGGATCTAGAGATTTACCATTAGCACCTGCAGCTTGTCTGTAAAAAGATAGGAAGGGAAGGAAGCGTTCAAGGGTGGATGTGTTAGGAAATTGGAGCCACTGTTACCCCATCGTTGTCTTTGGAACCAACTTCCAGTTCCACACTCCCACCTTCCCTTTCAATTTACTCCATCAATTCATTTTCATCCTCACCCTTCTTTATCTGCCATACAATCCATGACTTGCCACTGACCCACATCGCCACCAGCTGCCCAATCCCCAACCATGGTGGAGACCTCCGCGCTCGGTCGCTTCCACCACCAAAGGCTCGACCTTCGCCGCTGCTTCCCCACATTCTTCACCTCTCACAAGACCCTCTTCACCCTTCTCTGG